AATGGAAAAAATGTTGCACGAAAAATCAAAGTTGTGAACAGAATAAAAAATACTTACACGAAAAATGAAGTGAAGAACAGGAAAATATATCGGAACTCGCACGCAAAAAGCAGGAGCGGTAATCAAACGTCTTGAAGTTCATTAAAAATTCATAGAAATTCATAAAAACGTATTGTTCGTCGTATTGTTAAAATTATGTTTTTAAAAGAAATATACTAAAAATAAAGCGTCTTAATCTTGAACCAACAGAGCTTGCTTGGCTTTTGCGGGCCGCTCTCTCTTTCACTTCTGGACCAACGGAATTGTTTTGGCCTCTGGTGGTGCATTCACTAATTTCAGCCGGATTTGCATTCCCAATGTATGTTTACAAATGTGTTTTTTCAGGAAGTAAGGGCATGTGCAATCGAAGTCATTAGTATCCTGTTCATTAATCGGGATGGTCCAAATGCTGTAGTGGCTCTGCTTAAATTGGTCGAATGTCTTCCACTTACCGGCCACGGCTTTAAATTTGGTTAGACGTTTTTGAGTGATATTCTCAGACATAGTGGAGGAGGCCGTGAAAAACAGTGACCTATCTTTAACTGAATTCTGTCACTTTTTCGTCTCCCGTTGAGGTCCACTTCTTCATAAACAACTCTGATGCTTTTTCAAATGCGATGTCATTTTGGCACAGCTGTAGAGCGCGAATGTCATCTTTCAAATCACCGTATCTCTTTACCTTTAGTTAGAATTTTAAGTTGTTTTTCAATATTTTCCGATACGTGGAAAAAGTTTCCTTTCAACTTGCAGCAGAATTCTGTGGTATCAAATTAAAATGTCGTGCAAAGAATACCGCGCAGTTCAATAAATTTTGCGTGCATTCAGACGATTTTTGTAAAAAAAAAATTGCGTGCAAACCTCTTTTTTTTGCGTGTGCTTTATTATTCACCATTTGGATCTGATATCTTTCTTATCTTCTTTCGCCTGCACAATATTCCGTATACTTACATAAGAAACGAATCGGGTCATAATAGGTACATGTCAAGGGAGGGCAAGGACAGTTTGGGTCCTGGTGTAAAAAACTGTCTCGAAAGTCGCAGTTTGTAAATTTTTTCGTGATTACCGATAAATGCTCCTCCGAATGCGGTTCCTCTGTTCCGTCACTCATTCTGTTCATTCTTCGTCGGAACGACAATCTCAGAACATTCATTAATTGGACCATTTTGGATCATGGATCATACTAAATATTACTTTCGCAATCACCAATCATTGCGACGGTGTGTGACATGATAATACCCTGCCAAGAACGAGCACAGTGTGTAGTGGAAAAGAAGGCTTTTACTGTTAATTTTTTCATTTTTAATTTTTCCACATTGCGTTTGGAAGAGCAGTAAGTTTATCCCTGCTAAAAATGAGTGTAATGCTAGCATTATACACTCGTGAGTGTATAGCTAGCATAATGTGATTTGCACACAGAATTGCATCATGCTAGCATTACACTAGTTATACACTCTCGAGTATATAGCTAGCATTATACTAGCTATACACTCACGAGTATATAGTTAGCATTATACTAGCTATACACTCACGAATGTAATGCTAGCATTACACTGGCATTATACTGATTCTACACTAAGGGGTATTATCTTGACACTTCATAGCTGCTATAGCTGCTATAGCTTATAGCGCTAATTATAAGCGCATTATAATTATGATAGCTAGCACATCCCTAAATAATAATGCGCTGCCGACCTTAAAAGGACGGCCCCGCGGGGGTGGCGCTGGGCCGAGGCGAGAGGGCGGGGACGCCTTGCGTCCTTATTCCACGGTGAGGCTTTCGTGGTGTTCATTCTTGTTAACGGTACCATTGCAACCATCGGGGAGTCAGATTTCTCGGGTATGCCCAAGTATATTGATATGAGGCTGTGAAAAAGAGAGCGCAACTTTTAACCGCTTCTAACTTATCAAATATGAAGATTAAAAGAAAAGTGAAATCTCTAGAAGTAAATCATAAATACCCCAACAAGTGAGAAGAATAACGAGACAAAAAGCCATTCATCCGAGGCAGGCTCGGGCCAAGAGAAAACGGGAATCGCACATTGAAGAGTACGGCGCCATCTGGTGGCCGTGACTGGTAAAGACTCATCACACAGTTATACACTCATTAGAGTTATGCTAGCATTACACTGGCACTGAACCAGTAATACACTCAGCAGTATAAAGCTGAAAAAATTCTTGTTTCCTTATCTATGTCATTTGATGTCAATTGAATGCTCATGAAATAATGCAATGATCGTTCGAGCATTACAGAGTGCTATTATAATTTAGATAAGGATTAAAGTTAAGTCCTATAATGAGAGAAATTTCGTGTTTTACTGCCATGTATATATACACGCTAATAATTTCGAACTACATGGAATTTTACATTGTAAATTTTTTTGTTCACAATGCCTTTTTCCAATGAGAAAATAAAACCATAAAACTCTTCTTTACTTCATATTTCTGCTAATAATTATATTTAAAGGAAAATAGTTGAGTGTTGGTCTTATTGACAGTTTCTTTATTTTAAGGATTGCCTATACATTCTTGCGAAGAAGTCATTTTTCTTAACATCCTTGTACAATGAGCCTTTGCTTTTTTAGTTTTATATTATGCCCATTTTTTTAATGCTTCAGCTTTCTCCTTAGCAGTAACAGAAAAATAAAAAAAGTAATTTTAGTGAAAACACTTATTTTTCCTGAAATTTCAGGATGAACTTAAATTTACAGGTGTCATTGCAGGATTTGAAAAATACCTAGGACATAAGTGACTTCTTCAAGAAATCTAATCAGTGTCCTTATCATTGACTTTTTCAATAATTTTGGGAAATTATTATTAATTTTCCATTTTCCCGTACCTATATATTTCATTTCCTTCCGTAGTTTGGAAAATCGCTTTTGGCAACCGATAAAATATACTTAGTCCCTATATATGAGCTTACTCTATTTGCATTAACCCACGAGGGGTTCGCGAAGCGGACCTTAAAGGGCGTGAAGCGTCGTTGGGGTTTGGGTCGTGTTGCGGTCAGGGGACGCACCCCCTAGTTATTAATATGGACCTATAATTTAATGTCAATACAAACCTCATTGTACAACACTACCCCATACATAATCCCTAAGTAGTATAACACTCTGGCATGGAATAATAAATAGCTTCGTCAGCTAGTTATTATTCTATGACTCTGGATTGTAATACCTACCCGATCAACTTAATGCTGACATATAACTCGTATATGCTTAGCATTACACTTTTGAGTATAATACTCGTTTATTGCTGACTAAGTTAATGCTAAAATATAACTCGTATACAGGGTGTCCTATAAGTCCGCACCCCCCCCCCTCGTAACTTTTCAGCGGTTGGAGATAGAAAAACGAAACTTTGGGAATGTTTCTATCTTAAAGGGGTCCATCTTCTAGGGGGGTCAACATTTTTGTCCCCCCTCAGGGGGGGGCGCGGGGGCCCCCAACTTTTTTTTCAAATGGTAACCCCTATTTTGTGATACATCATTAGAAAGAGCATAAAAAACTAAGAATTTAGGCGCAAACCGCAAATCAATATCTTAATTTTTGACCGAGTTATGATAGGTCAAAGGTCAAATTTGACCTATTTTTAAAAAATCATATCTCCGGTTCAAATTATCGTAAAGAAAAAAATAAAACGGGGAAATTTACCAAATTGTGAGCCTTTTCAAGTAAAAATCACAGAAATTACTTCAAACTAATTTTAAGGGGGGTTTCGGACTCCTAAATACGTCATTTTAAAGGTCATACGATATTCTCGCGAAATGAGCCAATTTCCCCTTACTTTTCCTCAACATTATCTTAGTAAGTTCAAAATTAGTTCAACATTGCGTTTTCAAGTCCCCATATTTCGAGCAAAGTTCAAAAAACGAAATTTAAGGTGATTCAATTCAATCATTTAAATTTCATTTTTTTAAAATTTTCTTCGAAATTTAGGGACTTGAAAACGCAATGTTGAACTAATTTTTAACTTACTAAGATAAAGTTGAGGAAAAGTAAGGGGAAATCGGCTCATTTCGCGAGAATATCGTATGACCTTTAAAATGACGTATTTAGGGGTCCGAAACCCCCCTTAAAATTAGTTTGAAGTAATTTCTGTGATTTTTACTTGAAAGTGCTTACAATTTGGTAAATTTCCCCATTTTATTTTTTTCTTTACGATAATTTGAACCGGAAATATGATTGTTTGAAAATAGGTCAAATTTGACCTTTGACCTATCATAACTCGGTCAAAAATTAAGATATTGATTTGCGGTTAGTGTCAAATTTCTTAGTTTTTTAAGTTTTTTAGTTTTTCTTTCTAATAATGTGTCACAAGATAGGTGTCACCATTTGAAAAAAAAGTTGGGGGCCCCCGCGCCTCCCCTGAGGGGGGGGGACAAAAATGTTGACCCCCCCCCCCCTAGAAAATGGACCCCTTTAAGATAGAAACATTCCCAAAGTTTCGTTTTTCTATCTCCAACCGCTGAAAAGTTACGGGGGGGGGGGGGTTACGGACTTTTGGGACACCCTGTATGGTAAGCATTACACTGCTGAGTATAATACTAGTATAATGATGACCAGCTTAATGCTAACGTATAACTCGTGCATGGTTAGCATTACACTGCTGAGTGTAATACTAGTATAATGCTGACCAACTTAATGCTAACATATGACACATATGGCTAGGATATAATCATATAATGTATCACTAACGAACTTAATTCTCACATATAGCTGGTATAATACGGACATATTGCTAACATTACGTTACTCAGTATTATGCTTGAAAACTTAATACTAGCACATTGCTATCAATATGCTAACATTACACTCATTAACAGGAATGTTGGAAAGTGAGGATGGACATGGCACCGGTCATAAGACGCCTCGAAATTGGTCCAAGGTTAAAGTTGCTTTGCTGTGATATCCTATTCTTCATCAACCTTGTGCTCATCCGTAGCATGGCGGTATAAATCCATCGCTAAACCCTACTAAATGGACAATAAAAATAGCCAGGATCAACATCATCTCAACTACCTACGTAATGCCGAATATTTGTTATTCTTATGTCAATAGCAACTTCAAACATTACCTAATAAAAAACTCAACTTCCGGCTCAATTCCCTAACTCAATGAGCCCTTGAGCAATTCGTTGGATTCGAGGAGCCGTTTCGAAAATTGTGTAAATTCATCTGAGTATAACTATACATTCTGGCTATGACGCAACAGCCATCACAATCTCCTAAATCGCCATTAGGTGTTTTTAATCAACCTTAGCCTCATCCTCAAATATGCCAGGCTAATTCTCATTTAAAAGGCCCTTTGTACAGGTGTGTCTCCTTTGTTTACCGCTATCCAAATTTAGGATTACTCAACAATACATATAAGGCGGTCCAGACCTACCGCTTTAGGTCTTTTTCTCGGCTATTGTCGGTCGGATAAATTCCAGGATCGCGAGGATGTGTGGAAAATCGACCGACCACAAGTATGGAATGATTCTCTGGACAATATTAATTTCCTAAGAGGGGGGGGGGGGGNACCTCGCTCAATCGTAATTTCTGACCTAAATCTATATAACACTAGCGGAAAGCCCGTGACTGAAGTCACGGGTCTAGATGCTTCATCAAAAATTTAGTTACGGGGAGACCTATAACCTACCAATGTGTGATTAGATTTTTCTTTATCTTAATCTCAATTTATAAAACTCGACAGATTTAATTTATTTGAAATTCAATTAATTTAAAATCAAATTCTTTGTCCGGCAAGGATGAATGTTACTGAATTAGGATGAACTTAGATTAAACGGGATAAATGCAGTTTTATGCTTATCAATCCTTTTGCATCTGGAAAGTGCAGAAACTTGGTATTACGGACGGTTACAGTTGGATGCGAATGAAACTCTGGGTCCTGTTGGTTTTTGGTTCGACAAAACTCTCTTCCGCAATGCATTTCTGAAATGTCAAATACTTTCAAAATGGCAGCATGCGAGTCCACCCGTAAACGTCCGTAATACCAAGTTTCCACCATTTTCCTCGCCATTTTGAAGTTATTCAGAATTTCAAAAAATCCGATGACAGATTCGTCTTTTTCATGCCGAAGTGTCCCCTGATACCAAGTTTCATGCAAATACATCGATAAGCAGCCTAATTTATTCTCTTGCCGCTCAAGGTCGCCATATTGACCGCCGTCATTTTGAAAAGGACAAAAATTTTCGGGGAAAATAATGCCAGAATCGTTTTTCTCGTTTAAAAAAACCTTTGAGAACCAAGTTTCATCCCAATCCATCGAAGGAAACGGGGATTTAGATTTCCGATATTTTGAAATTTGATCGGCGGCCGGTTTGTCAAAAATCAAGAGTTTGACTTGCGGTTTGTGCTAAAAATTTTCTTTTCTAATTCTCTTTGAATTGATGTGTCACAAAAGAGATGTTGCCGTTTGAAAAAAAAAGTTGGGACCCGTAGCCCCTCCTCCGGGGGTGGGGGCAAAAGTTTGGGGGCCCTGAAAGTAGCTTACATTGATCTTTGAACATTCCCGAAGTTTTGTTTCAAAATATTAATTAGGTAAAATTTTAGAAGGGGTGGAAGGGATTTTTGGGACGGCCTATATACTTGAAGATAGAATATAGGTGAGTTGAGTAGAAACAAACCGAACACATCAAACACAACAAACGCATTAAATACAACAGGCGCATCAAACACAACAAATATAGCAAACTCATCAAATGCGACAAACACATCAAACTTTTGACAAACGCATTAAACACAACAGGCACATCAAACACAACAAACACATCAAGCACAACAAATACAGCAAACTCATCAAACACGACAGAAACACATGAAACATCAAACACAACAAAAATATCAAACACAACAAAAACATCGAACACAACAAATGCATCAAACACCCCAAACGCATTAAACACATCAAACACAAAAAACACAGCAAACATAACAAACACAGCAAACATATTAAACACGACGAACACTACAAACACAACAAATACATCAAACACAACAAACACAGCAAAATCTTCAAACACGATAAACATCCCTTTTATCCCGGTTAATATCAATACATCCCGTTTTATCCCTATCTATATCCAATATTACCCATATCTATCCTGATTTATTCTATCTATCCTGTTTCAAATTGATTATGCCACTTTCCCATCCTGTTTCATATCGGACAATTTATCAAAGATCGATAAGCAAAGATCGATGTATCGAAGGGTGGGATAACCCTACCTATCCTGTTTTATCCTTATCTTTACGGTTACACACTGATTATTCTCCTTTTCTCAAACTTCCTCCATTTAACTCAATTAATATCAATGTCGTTCCCCATCCCGTTTTATCCATGTCTATATCATATTTTATGTCGAACTATATATCGAAGATCGATAGACATTACCCTGTTTAATCACTATCTGTCCTGTTTAATTCTTATCTACCCCGTTTCACACTGATTATTCCCCTTTTCTCAAAATTCCTACCTTTTATCCCGGTGAAAATCAATAAATTCCGTCTTATCCCTGTCTATCCTGCTTTATATCGAGCGATATATCGAAGATCTATATACAATACAATATTTTATCCCTACGAATGAAACCCCAAAATATGATGGTAGGGGTGCAAGGCATGCCATAAGAAAAAAAATATAAATAAAATTAGTTGTGGGGGGGGGGGCTACGGGAGTTAGAAAAGTGAGCTGGGAGGGTAGGGGTAGAATAAATGCTGGCAAAAAAATTAGAACTAACCTGGCAATGATTAAAAAAAAAAAAAAAAGGTAAAAAATTCGTTGACTTGGCCGAGAAACGGAAATAAAACATCAGCTGATAGCAAACAAAGGTTACCAAGGAAACCAAGGAATGAAACTTTCATAAAAACAGTTTAGTGGAAAACAGCGTAAGTAGGGCACTTACGGTAATTACCGTTTATAAGTAAACGGTAAATGCGATTTAACCGAAAATCTATACAGTTCTTCATCAGATCAAAATGGACAAAATTACAAAATTTGAGACAGCTAACGTAAATCTAACGATAGTTATCGTGAACGAAAGAATTGCTGACTTAGATCCGGTAACTATTATAGGTGGGATAATCAATAATTACACTTAAACATACATAAAACAGTTTTTGGGTAAAACATCTGGTCGAGGATATTGACGTGTTACTTACATAAGCACATGCATACATATAGGTAAAGCCGCTTTTATAGCGCAGCCTCGCGCTCTGCGACGCCCAACCGCTATCTATCGATACTATAAGCTCCGCGAGACCTCCTAATTTCGCGTAACTGGTAACGCTTATTGTTAGTTCCAGCGTTTTACCGAACCGATTGTCATGATTTTTGCGGTTATCGATGGGTGATAGGCTCTAGATGAGCCCGTTCTAATCATATTTTGGAAATAGGACTCAGGTTCTTTTTATAATCAGTTATAAAAGTAAGCGAATCTACAGAATGATCCGTGCCTGCTACCGCTATGCGCAGAAGGTTGCTCAGTGGCCTCTGGCAGTGGCTGAGTAGCCTGCGCATCAGCTTTACTTATCAACACAAGATTCGCCCCGATTCATTTCAAGATGAGCGGTGGCCAAGTCGTCTACGACATCGGTAGTACCCGCATGTCTCAAGATTTGGGTTCGATTCCTGACTCCTCAGCTACTTACTTATGACCTGATTTTCATTATTTGTTGTTTTACTGCAATGTGTCATTAATTTGTCATTGCAAAACGCGACCTTTTGGCTTCAAAAACAAAATTTTTTTTCTTTATTCATCAAAAACAAAAATTATATCATTCTGAAAGTAAAGTATACCTCATATCGTAATTTTTTAGGTGAAAAATAAAACCAACATTGATAGGAGGTTAAAAATGGGGCCGCGAAGCGCCTTCAGGGGGTTGGGCCTCGTAGCATAGGGGGCGGAGCCCCCTAGTTGCCCCCTATCCTCCCAGAGATCATTATAGCCAATTGGCTTCTTCTGATCTCCTCCTCCACCTCTTGTCGTCAACCTTTCACAGGACGTCCACGCCGCGCCGTCGCGTCGCCTTCTGGGAGGAACCCAATCGAAAACCTGCTTGGGCAACCGATCGTCTGCCATCCTTCGCACATGTCCATACCAGATCAAGTGCTTGGACCTGATATTGTGCACTATGTCATTCTCTACCCTATTAGCACACCTAGTTTTAAAGATATCTTAAAAACGTGTCATTGACACCAAGCCTCATTTCTGAAATGTTTCACGAGACACTTTAAAACCCCGAATGAAGTGTCAAACACGAATCCACTCTGTGTTCAACACATCACCACTTTTTAGGTGTTTGTGAAACATTTGCAGATTGTGTCACCGAAATGTTTCGAATTCTTTTTTTACATATTTCAATGACACACTGGGCAAAGGTCACCGTTGGCAGTGCATTTTTGACACATTTATGACACATTTCTAAAACAACGAGCCTTTAAACTCAGATTTTCCTCTAATTTTCTAAATGTTTATGACACATTTTTGGTATAGTCACTACAGTCCATATGGTGTTAAACACGAGCCCACTCTGTGTTGAATACATCCCCATGTCACTACTTCTTACCATACAAAAATTTTCAGACATCTGTTTTAGCAAATGTCGTGGAGGCATTATAGCTGTCAAATCAAGTGCCTGGGCGGCCTGATTATAGACTATGCCTAAGGAATGTATGGAACTATGGGTTCACTCTATCAGAATCAAACTATCAGAGGGATTAGGACGTCCTCACTTTAGAAAAGTATACGCAAAGCATGATGTACGGTTTCAAAATAAACCAAAATTTGGTAAAATTGGAAAATGCAACGTCAACGCTCTCTGGTGGGTTCAGTTTGAACCAGGACAATTTTTAGAAAGGTCTGAGAAATGTTTTCAATTTGTGTTCACCAGGTTTTAATGACAATCAAGGCACTGTTTTGTTTAACTGATACCTATATTCCTGACTCATTTCTGAAATAAATTTCCTCACCCTTATGCGTTTAAATTAATTTTTTAAACGGTTATGACGTACAATCGCCGC